TGGTTTTAAGTGGTGTGGTGTATTATTGTTAAGGTGTGCTTTCTAAGGTTTAGCACCAGCGGAGTTGTCTGCGTTCCTCGACAGGGCTTCAATTTGTTTTGGTTAGCCTTTTCCTAGCGGGGCYGAGTACAATTTAGATTTTTCGTGGTGAATAAACTTGTATTCCACCAGTAGCATTTACGATAAATCACAAAAAATCATATTTCATAGGTTTTCTTGCCAGAATCATGGGAGATCCTTATCAAAATATTATATTTAATCTTCAATTCTGATTGGTTAACCTTGAATTCCTTCTTAAGGTCAACTCAAACTCAGCCCTGGCATGCATGTACGCATTCCTTGCTGTGTCAAGATTGCTGTGTGAGGGTTCTCGTAACTTTTTTGTTTTTCAAATGAACCATACCAATGCAACGATAACCACTGGTCCAATGAACACCCAGATAAAACTATTTTTAAGTGACAACCAACACCTGCAAGAAAATGTCGATCCATTAGTCTGAGATAACCTTCAAAGACACAATTAGATTAATACACAGTATGAATAGAAGATCATAATTCTGATCTTACATTCCCATACCCCTCGAATAAATTAGGAACAACATGATATATTATTTTAATGCTTTTTAGAACATTCAAAAATCATCCTTATTTTTAAGAGGAATCGATTTTTGAGGAGGGAAAATTCGGGGATCCCGGAGAAAAACTGTCCAAACCAAAATAGGTATAATCAGAAAAACTACTCTCATATGACACCAAGTCCAACTAAGTCCGGGAGTCGAACCCGTCCCGTATCAGAGAGAGGCGAGCGCTCTCACCACTACGCTTCACGTGTTAGCAAGATAAAGAAACTTAAATAAGGACATTAAAAGCACCACTTGAAATATTAAGTCTAAAGAAAATTTCGAATGTTTTTCTACCATTTCAATTCTTAATACAATTTCAAATTGGGGTCTTTCTCTTAGAGAAAAGTGAGTGTTAGTTGAATAAAACAAACATTATCATGATAAATGGTCATGGCTTTATAACATGTAATGAGAAATCATGCTCACGCTAAATTTGTCCCATATCCAAATGAGTTTATTGAAGCAGCGCCTCCAACGTAAATCAATGGGAAACCTAAATACAGTTGGGAGCATTAGATCATTTATTTATTTATCATATCATTTTCATAATTACGAGCTTAGACAACTATTAGCTGTAAATCGAGTTGTATGGAGGAAAGGAAGGAAGGAAGCAAGGAAGCAAGGAAGCAAGGAAG